GGCCCTTTGCATGTCTAAATGATTCAGTCTTCTTTATACAGTATATCCTTCTAAAGTGTGGTCATATTTTTAGCCAAGTAGGATCTTCTGAGTAGCATAAGAGCATGTGATTGGTTCCTGCATATCTACATTGGATGGCATAGCAAATGGAATGGCTTTTTGGTGCCTGCATTGCTGAAACTCATTGCTAAGGTAGAACCTGTTTAACACCTATTGTTGACCACAGCGCAGGGACTTTTGGTATGTGACCAGAGTGTTTGAGGGAGAGCAGTACAAGATCTGTGCATGAAAACAGGTACTATTTTCTCAAATTCTCTTGATTAAAAGCTATATATTAATTCCAAAAAAGATCTTTCTTTTATGTTTTAATCAACAAGTAGACTGATCTGTTATACATTTTCCAGGTTCTCCTTCTGATTGTCTGGAACACTGCGTTAAATGTTTGAAACAAACACGCTTTGCTCCAAGAAGGTCCCATCCACTCCTTTCATGAATATTGCACAGTCACAAAGTTTTTGGGTGGCGCAAAAGCAAACATTGTTATAATAATAATTTCATTCGTAGTCTAGAAATCTATACAACCCGTAGAAGCAGCAAATATGTTTTGCTCTGCAGGTTGATCTGGCCACACTCTGTAGCCTCAGCAGATCTAACGTCAGCCCGAACCTTTTTAGGTCCGACCAATCATATCATTTTATTTTTCTAAACAGATGCTCAGCGGGCTTTGCACCAGTGCTGCGATGAAGAAAAACTGCAAAGTTGGTCTTGGCTAAGGAACGGCGTTCATTTGAAACGGGTTTGGCATCAACTTTGGACTGTTTAGACTTGGGCTTTTTGTTGAGACATGAGCTGTACTTCAGTCCTTTATTTAGAAAAAGGATGTACTTGGTTCTTCTTCTTCTTTGATGGTGTATGGTGGACTCCATCTCTGACTGATTTCTGTAGCGATGAATACGTTACATTGTCCATTGTTCTGATTGGTCCTAGCACTATCCAACTGTGTGCAGGTACAGTTTCAAAGACAACCGTATTTTCCGCCCCATGACCGAGCTCTGTCTATGGGTCATTGCCAGACTATATATTACAGGATGGCTAGCGAGGCTATCTGAGGTGTTTTCAGACCAAAGAGTCAAGAGAACTTTCTGAGGTTGTAAGAACAGTTAGCCCAACTGAACTGGGTAAAAGAACCTATGTAACTAGATTTGCACCATATATGTAGTACTGCGATTGTGTAACACTCATTGCAACTACATCGCCTAAGCACTTAATGGCCACCATGAACAACAACAGAGTACATCAGTGTTAGGGGCATACACTTTCAAACGAAAGAGACAGCTGCCTTTGTGTTGCACCTAACAGTGCACAAGAAAAAGAAATAAAACACTTGTAATTTCAGACAAATACAGCAGTTTAGTAACTTCTACTTTAGTGATGCAAATGACATTTTTATTATGTCAGTGAACAAGAATTAAATGGTCTCTACAAACCAATGTACACCTTTGTAAGGACCAATCCCAGTCTCCTGTGTCACTCAATAGTCCCTACTGAGCCAAGAAAGAGCCTACCATGAAGCTGAATCTAAAAAAAGACTCATTAAATTAGGTTAGAGGGAGTGCTAAAGATGACAGTCCCAACTCAAGAATCAAACCACTTAATATGTTTATAAGGACTGTGGGATATCCAAAACACACCTGGGGTCTCAATTATCAAACACTGCATAGAATCCTTACTAAAACCGTACTTAAGCTCAGCAAAAAAAAATGTACTTACCCCAAGTAGGTTTGTGATCTATCAAACATGGAGTACGCACAGCTGCACGCAATCTCCGCTCGATAAATCGGAGACTAACGAGAATATTTCTCAGCTGCATTTTAGTCACATCCCACCCTCAACACGCCCACTTACTGCCATAAATAGTCAATGCAAAGTGCCTTGTGGATCTCATGCATATACATAGGCCGGATGTTGCAGCGCTCCGCCAATGACATGGCAACCGTAGATCAAGGCAGATCAAGGAAGCGCTATTTCACAAGCAGAAATTCAGGTACATGTGGGTGAGGTGGAGAAATGAAAGGAAGTGCTTTTGCAAAACAAATAAGAGAAAATCCACGGCGTGGCACAGCGTTGCTGAAGCCGTCAATGTTGTGAATTCTTCAGAGAGATCTGTGGCGGATATAAAAAAATGGTCCAATCAGGATTTGATCCCCAGACTCCCAGGTGAAAGTCACACACACTAACCAGTCAGCCAAATGAAGATCTCCCTTGTACAAGTAGCCAGGACGCATGATCAATCGGGTCACAGTGACAGGACACACACTGTCACAGACCCATGACATTCTGTCTCAATCTGTCCCCCTGCTGATATTCTGCATTCCGTATTCTGCGCTTCAGGCTGTGTGTGTGTGTGTGTGTGTGTGTGTGTGTGTGTGTGTGTGTACGCACATGTGTGTGCGTGTGGGGGGTCTTGTTCTGTGTGAAAACGAAGCAGCACAAGTGATAATGCTGCAGGATTTCATAATTGCATCCTTCGCAGCAGCAGCACTGCAGGTGCTCTCCATGTCCAAAATGTGCGTAAGCAAGGTCCTTACTAGTCAACTTAAAGTTGCGCACATTTTTCCGCTAGGTTTTCTTTCATGAATCCCAAAGTTAGCGTGGAAAGTTGCTTACGCAGTTTTCTGACCCCATTTTGTGCGTAAGCAAGCTTGATAAATGAGGCCCCTGGTAACTATTTGATCCAAAAGCTCCTGTTGACTATTACAAAGAACCGATCTGAAACTTATCAGGCTTCATGAGTTAAAACAGTAAAACCAAACTCTCCCCTCGATGACTCTTCACTCTTCTGAACTTTTAAAAGATGTGTGTTTGTAGATGTGTTTTTAAAATCGTTATGTGCAACACCTATAGAGTCAATCCTGCTTGTTTTGTTTACTGCTGCCTTCATTTTAAGCCTCTGACTTTGTACGTTGTGAGAATAGAGCTGCAGCAGCAGTGGGCTGCTGAAATAGGCAGTGATTGGTCATATTTTCAGAAGGTCAGAGGTAACCATTTGGGAAATTATTCAGCAGCAGCTCCTGCTGCTTCAAGGCAACAGTCAAACACAATGAAGGATATTAGAAAACACAAATAACCTTCCTTGGCCTTCTTCATATGTGCGTCAGTGCACTTCTGCATATACACAGACACTCAAAAACACTTCCCCGCCTCTATGTCTAAATGTGAGAGCAATAACTGAGGGAAGGCAAAGAACAAGGGGCCTCTTGGGCCAGAGACCAACCATGTCCATGTTAACTCAGACCAAGACACACTCAGGTGTGCTAGCTTTGGTTCAGAACGTAGCTCCTCTGACCTTTGCAGCAGACAAAGTGTCTCAGTGGTGCTTCTCTTGAAAAGTCCAGAGTCACTTGGGTAAACAGAGTGCTCCATGGTTTAAATTAGATACACATATATTTGTGGGTTTATGTCTGTGTTTGTCGGTGAGCAATCGTACGTTGACCACATCCTGATTCTAGTGTTGTCCAGCTAGCGTCACTGTGTAATTACTCTCCCACAGCTCCAAGTGAAAGCTCAATTTTTGTTGTAAATGAAGCCACTGTGATTGTTACACAGCTCAAGTACATCCAAGAAAAATTTCCGCAAAAGAAAAAAAGAGTGAAGAGTGGATATTAAAACAGCAGGGAACTTGAAACGGCGGGACCGGAATACAAATAGTGAGAGGCCGGAGAGAGAATTAACAAGCAGCAACAGCAGCAGCATGCATAATCCCTTGCATGATATTCAAGAGCCACATACAATATAAATGAACACCGTTTGCTTGCAAACAAAAAGGAGTCCTAATTAAACTTAAACATATGCAACAGGAACAAGGAAGTCCATATGTGTGTGTTATCACCAATTAAGAGCCTCTTTCATCAATAGTGAGCCAGACAAGGCGAATAAAAGGATGGATTATTTCCTAAATGCTTGGGCTTCAGGGACACTTAGCTTATTCAACTTATCACCATGACAACTCTTGTATGACATTTTCACTTCCTCTCTTTGGAATCCAAGTCTGCCAGTTAATTATTCTTTTTTCTTCTTCTTCTATCACTGACAACAAAGAGACCACTTATTTCTGAGCGTGGGCCATGTGTCCAGGGATGTCACAATTTCAGAAGGCCAGAAAGTCCTCTAAGTCATTTGTGGAGTTTTGGGAGAAATGGAAGGAATGGAAATTAAATAAGTGTTTGCATGGCTGGAAATCAGAGATCAAACAGTGCATCGGGTTTATATACAGTATTATCCCTTATAGATTTAAAATGACTCAAACTAAGTAAATCAATTCACCCAGGACAGAGAGCGATAAAATGGGCCACAGATGGGTTTATTTTTATACAATACACACTTAAAAGCAATAGAAAATAAGGATCCCCGCTTAAACATGCCACTTTTGTCCTCCTCCTCCTCTTCACCGCTCTGTTGGAGACTAATCTTGCTACAGTGTGATCCCTGTGTTTAAATAAAACGGAAGTCGCAATTTCATCTTTTAAATCCTCCCGAATGCTGGTAAACCACCGGGTTATTTATTTGAATTTTTTCCTCCCTATTTTCTATATTCAAGGAGAGAAATGACGGAGTGCTTACGCGTCACTGCTCCATCACGCGCACAAGGCATCTTAATGACCAAGTAACAAGTGCCCTGAACATTTATCACACGCGTTTTTTTTCACGGAAAGCACTTTTACAGCTCACTCTGCGCCGGAGCAACATACAAGTGCGCGGAAAAGATGCGTTTAGGCGCATCAGCGTGCAAATGAAAAACGAGCGTTTAAGTCTAAAAAGAGAAATAATTTGTAATGTGAGCGCAGAAAACAGAGGCGTGCGGCAATAAAACACGCAACTCTGCATTTATTTCTTTTTAAAGAAACAAGTCATGGCATTTTCAGTCCGAGTCTCTGCGTGTCCGTTTCCCCGCATCATCCTCAGCTCACGCAGACAACCCAGAGAATCTTCAAATGACTCACCTGCTTTTTGGTCCCGGTGTGAATCCGTCCATTCTCTGACCGTCTCCGCTTTTGTGTACTCCAAAATATCCGCGTCAGTCTAGATTATGTGTTTAGGGATTGACCTTCCTGCGAATCGTCTCCCATCATCCTCGGGGGAATTTCCTCCTTATTTCTTCAGTTATTTTCTTGATTTCTTGCAGGGAAGCGCTCCTCCTCCAAGTCCTGGTGCGTTTTGACGCGTTCGCCTTGACTCTTCTTGTGCCCAACACGCGCGCATCGCGGGGACGCGCCGCGCTATCCCGAGCGAATCTGTTCGGGAGCGCCAACTGGAGATAGAAAAGAGTTACTAGGTAACCAAGGGCATACGCATCACACATGAAAAGGAGCAGACGATTTATGCCTTCCAACTGTCCTCTGCCCATCTGCTCTGCCTCCTTTTTGACGGCTCATCAAAAATAACCCGCTTTTATGAGACTGAAGGGTCGTTCTGTAGTGCCTCACAAATGTCCTAATCCTAGGAGGAAGTTTAAAATGAAGATTACACATTTAGATGAGTTATTTATTAAAAATGAAAGAGCAGGACGTAGATTTTTTAATCATACGGGTGGAAAGCATTAATAAATGAAGAGGGGGTGATTTTTTTGCATGATGGGAATGAAACTTGGAAGAATATTAATAACTAAACCAGGTTCTTTAGTGGTTTATCCTTTTCTCGTGTGAAATAAATCCAAGATTTTTGTGCATTTGAGGTTATTAAGAATAATGTGATGCAGTATAATGGAGGCAATGTGAATAAAAAACAATAAAATAACAAAACATTACCAGGAAAAACCTTGTTAGAAAATGAACATTACAGCCTATTTGAGTTTTCTGTCGTTAACAAGTGTCACCAGTGTGAGATCATCTCAGTTAATATGTCATAGGATGAAGTTGTGTAAAATGGGCCTCACAAGGTTGGAGCACAGTAGTTCTTCAAAAGACCAGTGACTCATATTAAAGTAAAAACCATCACCTGCACTGACAGACATCTCGCCACCTCCCGTGACCTGATGGCAAAAGTTTTTTTTTTCATAAATGTATTTATGCGCGTTCACACAAAGCTGTTGAGCTTTGGGTCAGCCTGCATTTGTGAAAAAGCTTCAGCAGATATCTCCAGTCCAAACACCAGTGGTGCCACCAAGGGGGCACCAGAGGGGGCAATGGCTACTCCTACAAATATAGTTTTTAATAGCATGAATTAGTGAGGAAGAGGATGTGCTTCAGTAACTTTTATGTATTTATGCCTTTTTTACCTTTATGAAATGAGAAACTCTTTTAAACCCTCCCACTGTCCTAATGGGTGTGACCCCACGAGGAAAGTTGACCATTGAGCCCAATTGATGGTTTATCCCTTGGGTCGATGTGGCAGGTGTGAGGAGGGAGCACCACCTCACCCCTGCCACATGGACCATCAATCCTGCTCATTGGACAACTTTCTTCGCGGGGTCACCCATAAAGACGGGGGGGGGGGGTGTCAAAAGAAGAAACAAATTATAATTCCTTTGTGACAGTTCAGAAGTGTGCTTTTGTGATTAAGTTATGAATAGTTAATATTCACCAGATGTAAAAGGCTCTTTAAACAGCCTCAGTTTTGAGAAGCAGAGATCAGTTCCGATAAGACAAATGAGCTAAGAGCGAATCTGAATAGAGTTGGTTACACATTGTTTCTGCTGGCTTAAAAGGTCTCTAATCCCCAAAATCCCATTTATTTGTTTCTAAATGTATTTTTAAATCTTTGCATTGTCACAAATATCACTTTATGATTAATCACATAAATGCTGGGGTTATTAGCTGCAGAAATTAACTGCAAAACTTTTATGTCGTCGTCGTCTTCCTCCGCTTATACGGGTCCGGGTCGCGGGGGCAGCATCCCAACTAGGGAGCTCGAGACCGTCCTCTCCCTGGCCTTCTCCACCAGCTCCTCCGGCAGGACCCCAAGGCATTCCCGGACTAAATTGGAGATGTAACCTCTCCAACGTGTCCTGGGTCGACCCGGGGGGCTTCTGCCGGCAGGACATGCCCGAAACACCTCCCCGGGGAGGCGTCCAGGGGGCATCCTGACCAGATGCCCAAACCACCTCAACTGGCTCCTTTCGATCCGGAGGAGCAGGAGGAATGTCCGAGGTCCTCACCCTATCTCTAAGGCTGAGGCCGGCCACCCTACGGAGGAAACTCATTTCGGCCGCTTGTATCCGCGATCTCGTTCTTTCGGTCATTACCCAAAGCTCATGACCATAGGTGAGGATTGGGACGTAGATCGACCGGTAAATCGAGAGCCTGGCTTTCTGGCTCAGCTCCCTCTTCACCACGACAGATCGGCTCAACGCCCGCATCACTGCAGATGCTGAACCAATCCACCTGTCGATCTCTCGATCCCTCCCACCCTCACTCGTGAACAAGACCCAGAGATACTTAAACTCCTCCACTTGAGGCAGGACCTCTCCCCCGACGCGGAGTTGGCAAGCCACCCATTTCCGGTCGAGAACCATGGTCTCAGATTTTGAGGTGCTAATCCTCATCCCAGCCACTTCACACTCGGCCGCGAAACTACCCAGCAAGAGCTGAAGGTCAGAGCTGGATGAAGCTAGGAGGACCACATCATCCGCAAAAAGCAGAGACGAGATTCTCCTGCCACCAAACTCGACACACTCCACACCACGGCTGCGCCTAGAAATTCTGTCCATTAAGGTAATTAATAGAACCAGTGACAAAGGGCAGCCCTGGCGGAGTCCAACCCTCACCAGGAACAGGTCCGACTTACTACCGGCTATGCGGACCAAACTCACGCTCCTCTGGTAAAGGGACTGAATGGCCCTTAACAGAAAGCCACCCACCCCATACTCCTGGAGCGTCCCCCACAGGGTGCCCCTGGGGACATGGTCATAAGCCTTCTCCAAATCCACAAAGCACATGAGGAGTGGTTGGGCAAACTCCCATGCCCCCTCCATCACCCTTGCAAGGGTATAGAGCTGGTCCACAGTTCCATGGCCAGGACGAAAACCACATTGCTCCTCCTCAATCTGAGATTCAACTATCGATCTGACCCTCCTCTCCAGTACCTTGGAGTAGACCTTCCCAGGGAGGCTGAGGAGTGTGATCCCCCTATAGTTGGAACACACCCTCAGGTCACCCTTCTTAAAGATGGGGACCATCACCCCGGTCTGCCACTCCACAGGAACTGCCCCCGATGACCACGCAATGTTGCAGAGACGTGTGAAGCATGACAGCCCTACAACATCCATAGCCTTGACATACCCAGGACGAACCTCCTCCGCCCCCGGTGCTCCGCCGCTGTGTACTTGTTTGACTACCTCAGCAACTTCTGCCCCCGAGATTGGACAGTCCATCCCCAGGTCTCCCGGCTCTGGTTCTTGCTCGGAATGTGCATAGGTGGGATTGAGGAGCTCCTCAAAGTATTCCATTCACCATCCGACTATAGCCTCAGTTGACGTCAGCAGCTCCCCATCCCCACTGTAAACAGTGTGAGCGAGTTGCTGCTTTCCTCTCCTGAGGCGCCGGACAGTTTGCCAGAACCTCTTTGGAGCCGATCAATAGTCTTTCTTCATGACCTCACAAAACTCCTCCCATGCCTGAGATTTTGCCTCGGCAACTGCCACTGCTGCACCCCGCTTGGCTATCCGGTACCTGTCTGCTGCCTCCAGAGACCCACAGACCAGCCACGCCCTGTAGGCCTCCTTCTTCAGCCTGATGGCTCCCCGAACCTCTGGTGTCCACCAGCGGGTACGGGGGTTGCCACCACGACTGGCACCGGCCACCTTGCGATCACAGCTAGCAACAGCCGCCTCAACAATCGCAGAGTGGAACAAGGCCCACTCGGAGTCAATGTCAAAGGCAGTCAAAGCTCTGCCGGAGGTGGGAGTTGAAGACCGTCTTAACAGGTTCTTCTGTCAGGCGTTCCCAGCAGACCCTCACTATGCGTTTGGGTCTGCCAGGTCTACGCGGCATGTTCCCTTGCCATCTGATCCAACTCACCACCAGGTGGTGATCAGTTGACAGCTACGCTCCTCTCTTCACTCGGGTGTCCAAAACATACGGCCGCAGATCAGATGATACGACTACAAAGTCTATCATCAACCTGCGACCTAGGCTGCCCTGGTACCAAGTGTATTGATGGGCATCCTTATGTTCGAACATGGTGTTCGTTATGGCCAAACTGTGGCTTGCACAGAAGTCCAATAACGAAACACCAATCAAGATCAGATCTGGTGGGCCGTTCCTCCCAATCACACCCCTCCAGGTCAAGCTGTCATTGCCCACGTGAGCATTGAAGTCCCCCAGCAGGACAATGGAGTCCCCTGATGGAGCACTATCTAGCACTCGTCCCAGGGACTCCAAAAAGGGTGGGTACTCTGAACTGATATTTGGCCCATAAGTATAAACAACAGTCAGAACCAGTTCCCTGACCCGAAGGCGCAGGGAAGCTACCCTCTCATGCCCCGGGGTAAACCCCAACACACAGGCAGAGAGTCTTGGGGCTAACTAAAAGCCAACCCCAGCCCTCTGCCTCTCACTCGGAGCAACTCCAGCAAAGGAGAGTGTCCAACCTCTCTCAAGGACTTGGGTTCCAGAGCCAATGCTATGTGTTCAGGTGAGTCCGACTATATCTAGCCGGTATCGCTCAACCTCTGCCGCAAGCTCCTGCTCCTTCCTCGCCAGCGAGGTGACGTTCCATATCCCAAAAACCAGTTTTCTTTTCCGGGGATCGGACCGCCAAGGGTCCCGCCTTGGTCTGCCACCCGATCAACACTGCACCGGACCCTTCATGTTCCTCCTGCGGGTGGTGGGTCCACAGTTGGATGAGCCCATGTATCCGGTTCGGGCTGGGCCCGGCCGGGCCCCATGGGTGAAAGCCCGGCCACCAGGCGCTCGCTCACGGGCCCCAACCCCAGGCCTGGCTCCAGGGTGGGACCCCTGTAGCCCTCCGGGCCAGGTACTCCGACTCTTTGACTTTACCTCCATGAAAGATCCTGTGAATCGTTCTTTGTCTCACCCTTCACCTAAGACCAATTTGTCATGGGAGACCCTACCAGGGGCACAAAGTGCCCCAGACAACATAGCTCCTAGGATCATTAGGGCACTCAAACTCCACCACGATAAGGTGGTTGAATTTTCATTCATAACCATCTTAGATAAAATTAATTATAATGTGAAGATTGTAAATAGCATTTGGATAAAACACTTTCAGTATTCTGATATCTGAGCTGTTAAAGCCCCATCCCAAATATCCTCCTTTCTGG